AAGTGTTGCTCTCCTTGAAGCACATTTCAAGACATACTGAAGTTAGCAGCACTCATACTTTAAACACTTCAGCAATTCAATGTGCAATACTTCAAGGTGTACATTCTCCCCATTGTTAGTACTTGCAGTACTCAGTGCAGATAAGGCACTACACATTTTCATTATACCGTGAAGGGTCTAGCAAAATCATATTCACAACACTCCAATGTCACGCAGATACTGGATACCTAATTGTGCTTCTGATGAGGCTGCCTGTGGCCCAACCAGAAATGCACTGTATTTAGCCATTCAAAATGTACAAGGAAAGAAATAGGATGGAGAAAGGAGAGACAGACATTCTTCTTATGTTTGACTCATGCAAGACCCCCCTTTCAACTGCTCTTCTGCCTCCTGTACTCTGCAGAGAAACCTGCAACTACCCTTGCCACTTTGCAAGGGTATGTCTGACAGCTAACACACTCTGAGTTTGAGGCTGCAAGCACAGCATACGTGGAAGATGTATCAATTGAGCCACATGGATGGAGAGGACTCTGCCTCTCTGCATTATCATAAGATTCTTCTGCATACACATCCATGCAACATCCAGGTCTTCTTTCTTTTTCAGGTAAACAGCATTCTGTATTGCTAAAAAGGGAAAAAGAGAAAGAACAGCCTCACAGTATCTCTTGTTGAGGCATGTAAAAGAAGAGACTTCAATATGACAAGTATGGTTCATTTTGCCTTTACTGTAGCCTTGGAGTTTACATCTGTAATTGATGAATTTTGGTGAAAGGGGAAGAAGAATCTTTACAATCAGTTGCTTTTCGACCCAACTAAAGCCTCAGATGAAAAATCTTTGCAACACTGCATTACTCTCAAAGCCTCCTTTACCCTTTCATCTTTCTGTATGTATGTGTTTTAGTGTATGTGTTAAAGTCACACAACAGTAATTCCACACAAAAAGCCCTTGTAATTAGTACTACAAAACCAAACCCATTAAGTACATTAAAATCATCACAGAACTACAAAATCTCACTGCTTCTAATAAGATAGTCTAAAAATACATGGTGAAGAACAGGAGCTTCATTCCTAGGAAGTTAGCAAGAAAAAATGATGCGTTTTACTTAGGCTATGCATATGTCTCATTGCCTGTACATTGCCTCAATTACCATGAAAGCAGAAGGGATGGCTGATAAAGGAATTTCTAAATGGGAGTAAGTAAATGGAAAAATATTTCTAGAGAGGTTTTAGATCCTGAATATTATTGACTAGATGACATAAGAACTAAAATATTTGTGTAAGCAATACACTGCCATATACATGGTCATGACCATGACAATACAAGGAAAGCTGTGGCCAGATTCTCAACAGTAAGCACCATGCATTCATGTGAGACCAATGCATGAAGAAACACACAATGCAATTAAGACAATTGTCTACACATAAGCTTATCACATGCAGAAGTGTCTGAGCAGCTATATGTATATAACTTGTACATTCATATCTGTTTTCCTTTTCTATTTTTCCTGATGAGAGCAAGACTGTAAAGCAACAGCTCACCACAAGATAAAACACTTCCTTTTCAGATTTCCCTGCACAAGCTGATTCTGCAGTTCTGTTTCAATCTACACTATCACATCTCTTTAAAGCTGAATGACAGCTTCCAGACAAGCAATTTAAAAGTATTTTTACAAGGTGCACAAATATTCTTTCAAAGGCAAGTTACAGTGACAGTGTCTCTATGGATCATAACTAAGAGCTGACATCAAGCTCTCACAGGTGAGACTGGCTCATTGACTTACATTTTAATACAGGCTTTAATGTTTTAGAAATAAGCATTTCCCTATTTCTTTACTTGAAAAAAAATGTAATAACCACCTTCTAAGGATCAAACCACTTTGCCATTAAAAATAATCTATTATCTTGCTTTAGGACAATCTAAATAATAATTAAACAATGCTTTTCATTATGGGATCAGTAAAATTATAATTTTGTTGTCAAAATAGACCAGTCATTGATATTCTAATACTTTACCTAATTTCTGCTCTGTCCTTGAATATAATAGATGCTAAAAAAAAAGACACAAGGAAAAACGTTACAATAATGAAAGACTATGTAATGCAGAAGTACTGGTGCACCCATTCAAACTCAGTACATGATACAAATCAAATGATACACAAATTGAACTCCAGTATTTGCAACACTCACCACTTTCCTATCCTGCCAACTCTTTTGGAAAATTGACATATTGAGTCATGAATGTATATACAGGTATGAAAGGCACCCAATTTCAGATTCCCTCATGTTTTCACAGTATTAATGTCTGTGTAGTTCTTATCACGCATGTAAATCCTGCTTAGTGTATCAAATCCACCCAGGTGCAATGTTCTTCCCTCACACTACCACTGCAATACAAAGACATGCACCCATTTGCTAATACAAGTTTATTTTTATAATGGACTATCTTCCTAGACTTTCTAGCTTGGATCCTGAATATTTTTCATTTGGAAATTACAGAGCCTTCACTAGCCTGCAGCCCAGGCTCCTGATATATTCTCTGAAGTATTCTTAGAAATAAATTAAAAGTCTCTATCCTTCTATTAAAAACAAGGTGCTGTGGAGATAAACAGCACATTTAAATTAGGTACAAACCCAAAATAACTAGCCTTGCAAATAGAATGTTCTTTAACTCTTCCTAAAATACCAGACCAGAAACAAATGTCTTCAATCCACACAGGCATATGACATTCCAAACAACACAGAAAGTTAAAAGAAAATTTCAAGTATCAAACACTTCAGATATACTTTTTTAAAACAACTATACTCTTTCATAACAACTTTTTAACAGGTTACATATTATCCCACATAACTGACATAAATGTACAACTTCTCTGCACCTAACATTTTTTGCTGGTTTTTTTTGTTGGTTTTGTGTTTGTTTTTTTTTTAATTCTCATTCCTTGACTGAATTTTCATCTAGACAGCTGAACTTAATCTCAGACATGTTTTACCATCCTTATTTTTGACAAATAATTTAGTCTCCAATATTTCAGTATGTTACAAAAAAGAAATAATAAAATCAAGTCATTATAGAGTTATTCTAAAAACAGCTTTTAAACTTCCAAGTGAGGAACAAGTAGATACAGTACAGTACCAGCTGCAAAAAGGGAAGATAATATGGATGACAAAGCAAGTGGAACCCAAAGTGGTACATGCTTCAATACAGACATTTAAACAAAAAAGTTACTTTGATTTAGTGCAATATAGTTCAATGAGAACATACACCAGAATGTCTACCAAGGGCACGAATATTATGTTGCTGTAATTTATCCATTATCTTTATGATAAGAAAATGTAATTTAACTGCTAATACCCAAATAAAATTCTAAGGAAAAAGAAAAGAAGTCTCATTCAGACCACTATGGCATGAGATTTATCCATAATCCCCTTTTTTAACTTCCCTAGGTATAAAAGCATAAAGAATTTTGTGACCCATCAATAACTGATCTAAAAAGAAGTGTATCAATCTTCATTTTGCCCATATAACAACTATTATTGGATAGACAAATATGTGTTAGCTTGGAAGAAATAGCTTTCTAAACAGCACAAAATACTAACCTCATGCATCAAAAAAAAATATTACACTCAAAACTCAGTATCTACCCCTTTTTTAAAATATCTGTGAGCAGCAGCAGAATGCCATTTCATGCAATTAGATGGAGAGTAATTCACAGAGGATCAGTTTATTATATTCACTATCCTACCTTGGAAAAGTTAACCTTTTGAACCATTCTGAGGGTATGCTGACCCCTAAAGGTCTAAAAATACTGAGTATGATTAAGCCATTACACATTTTAAAAGTGTGAATTGAGAGAGTACAATTCTCCACTAAGTTACTCCACCATGACTATTTTTACTTTCAGAGTATATGACTCAAAAACATTTTTAACTTCACTGAGTAATAGCTCAAAGTTCTGTGAAAAGGGGTCTACAACTACTTCATTATACATAATAATACAGATAGAAATTCCTTTACATATGTAGGAAATGCATCATCTCCAAGACAGAGTGTTTTTTCTTTCTGCTAAAGAACAGTTTTCATGAGAATATTAACATTTATTATGTTTTAAGAAAGAATAAATAGTATAAAATTCAAAACAAGGAAATATACAAGATGTTATCAGACTCTAATACAGGAGGCATATTTGACATTGACACACCTATTCCTTTTTTGTTTGTTTGTTTGTTTTTAAACCTACAAATAGCCACTTAGTGAAAAAATACAACAAACAACCCACTGCTGAAAGTCTGCTTCCTCATGTTGTTCTCGTACTTCCACCTACATATGATTATCTAGCTACAAGCTACTTTCTGGCTTCCTTTCTGTAAAATCAGTCAGTCACATAATGTGTTCTCAAAGTCAGTGTTGTTGGGTTTTTTTGAAGTTTCTGCCATGAAACAGAGAAAAATTTATCTGAGAGCAAAATTTTGGTCATTAAAATACAAAACAGACTCTTCCATTCTGATACAGATAAAAACTCCATGAACCATGGAAATCCCAAGTTAACGAAGGCCCCCTTTACCAACAAGCCTGCCTTACTGTCTGTATTCAGCTGAAGTAATAATGAGAAACTCATTAAAATTATTAGATGGCTTAATCATATCCTAGCAAAGCGTCAATAGCAAGAAAGTTACTTTAATACAGACTTTGGATTTGTTGTTAACCTATTAAGGAAAAAAAAATGGAAAGTGCAATGTACAGAATAAGAATTTAAATTAATTTAAGATTTCTCAAAGTTATAAAAAAAATTCAACAACCTAGAAAATAAAAATCAAGCTGATGATTTACGTTCCTGTAGCTTCTCTCCTGTTATCCCAAATACATAAGACTGACTGTATGGTAGTTTTTTTTCTTTTCTTCCAAAGTTAGTCATATATCAGCAAGAACAAATACATTCCAGTCACTGCCTAGCACTGGTAGAACACCTGAGGTTCCCTATTAATATCTTAAAAGTCCTTACCGTTTGACCAGTTCTCCATTTGTTCTTCTGAACTTGTTTGATCTGGCACTGAGTCCAGTTTTTGCTTAAAGGTTTCAGAGCTAAAATGAAGCAAACTCTAGATAAATAAACTTGCAACTATATAACACACCTATACTTTGCCTTTGTTTGACAGAAAATTTGCAAGACAAATGATTTAAAAATATATATAGCAGGACAATAAACTCTGTATACTTTAATAGTCAGTACTAAATATTATTTCTCAGTAAAATGTTTTTTTGTCCACATATCTATAATTTTCATAATGGTTTGGTTCAGCTTTCTGTTGTATGTAACATCTTCATTGAAAAATCTATTAGTTTGTCTTCTTGTTCTAGAGTCTGGTCTTGGAAGTGCATGCTACTGAGCACAGCCCAAATCACACTGAGTGGTCCCACTAGAGGCAACGAGACTGCTTGCTTTGGTAATTATTACAGATGGTTGTATGCACTTTATGACGTTCTTTCTCCTGCTTTAATTTCCTGGATAAAATACAGGTAAAGCAGCTCATGACCACTCCAACTCTGAATTTGCAGGTTTTTCTAAACACTAAATAATCAATCTTAATATTTGCATACATATTGCTTCAGACCATACAGTTAATCACACAGTTGCAATATTTCATATAATCAAAGACGTTCAAGAAACAAACCTCAATATTCAAAAATAAGATGTACAGTAAAATGTTATGCTCATTGGGTAGCATTTTCAGTTTAAAACATATGCTCTCTTATACATTAAAAATTGAACTATATATCTCAAGGAAATCGAAATCAATTTTTAATTACTAATATAGTAAGTTTACCACAAATTTTATTATTTACTCCAGTACCTGTTTTAAAATGTATTGTATGAAGGACAATTTTTCATCTTTAACTACATAGTTATCCTTATTTTGTATGTTTTCACTGTTATATTTTTTCTACATTTATTAAAAAGATACAATATGTGCCTTGAAGCAGCAGTGGCTAGATCATGAAAATACCTAGAGTTGTGCTGATAAATGTAAAGGTTAAAAAAAATAAAATTGAAGTAAGTACACACTTTAAAATTCAAGCATATTATACCAAGACATATGTTCTAATGACTAATGCAGCTGAAGAAATTCTTTTCCTATACAACACCAAAAAAGGCAGGTGTTTTCATTTTTATCTTTGAGGCTCTAAAAAACAAAACAAAACAAAGCAAAACTTAAGATTCAACCTTAACATATTAAGCATTCAAGAAATACATATTTAGTTCATATGGGCTGATAACTATAAATATGCATGATAAAAACCAAATGTGCATGATTTTATGTCCTTAGGTCTTAAAAAAAAAAAAACAACCAAAAAACAAAAAACAATTTCACCTCATATCGCAGAACTCTGAGTTCCTTACAGGAATCCCTCAAATGAAGCTGTACATTTCTTTTTCAATTCTGTGTAACTGTGTTGATTTGGAGTTGGCAATCTTTTCCTAAGTTCCTCATTTACTTTTGGATTAGCTGAAAATATAGAAGGTTATTAATATCAAGAAATAGGTTTCTGTCAATGAAGCAATTTCCCTACATATTGCACAAAAAGGTTCATAATAATTGAAGTATTTTAATAAGATTCATATAGCAAGACATGAAGAAAATATGGTATTTAATAACCTCTGGAGTATTTTAAAACATGTCTTAGGGCCTTAATGTGCCTAGTAATATACTATTTAAAACCATAATTTTATCCCTCCACAATATACAGTCATACTTCCTCGCCATTTACCCAGCTAATGAATGCCAGCAATTAGTAAAATGTAATCCCATTGCACAATCATTTTAATGCTTTTAGCACTCAGAAAAGTAAACACCAAATTAATACTGCTCAAGCCATATCAGATCCTAGTTGGAAGCAAGCAATTATAGTTCAGCTCCTCAGGTGTAATTAAATGATTGGAATGATTTAGTTCCATAAATGCAAGTTAATTCATAAGCAAGCAACAAATATACTGGGAGTAATTACACGAAACATTGACAGTCTAAGAAGGGCATGTACCTCACGTGGGAAAATGCTGCCCTCTCCTGGCAGTAATAGACTATGGCACAGGAATGATTGGAGGCAGAATTCTGTCGAGAAGCTTATTTTACAGACTTTGCCTTCATAGATGAAATATGTTCTGCTAATTAATGGAATTTTCTGGTTTGCATATACAGAAGATAAACATTGTTGATATCAGATTAAAACAACCTAACTATCACAGTCAAAAATAGAAAATTGTTGGGGCTTCCTCGGGTTTGCAGTAATTTTTCCACAGTAGTAAAAAAAAATAAAAAATAAAAAATAGTTAGTAAACAGAACAACAAAATATTCCACATACGAAGCATGTAAATCGCGTTTTCTGAACACAAACACTGCAATAGTATCTAATTTATGCACAACTCTTAGATATCATTCACAATGTACTTTTACAGTAGGTACTTCAAACCTAAGATATTTTTAGAACCAAAACTTACTGAACCATAATTATTCAGTCAGACTTAAACTTTGCCATATCAACAACAATCAGAGCCTGGCCATGAAAGTTTTACCAGGATGAATCATCAGAAAAATTTAAAAAAATTATTTTAAAACTTTACCTTCATTTGAAAACTATGGTAATAATTAATCTATCTAATAATCAAAAGAAATTAAGGCTAGAGATTAAAATAAAATATACTGATAGACAGAGACAAAGCTGAAAATAAGAAAATGAAACTTAGAGTTAATTTTAAATCTAGATATTATTTCCTTATTCACTATTTATACAACCTGTGTTAGTGTTAAGGCTACTGCTTGAACAACACACAAAGCCAAAAATAAAATAAAATACATTTGTCCTTATCTGTAGGATATGCAATAATCACGTAAAATTCACACTAAATATTTAAGCACAAACCACCTACAAATATGAATATAAATTATCCAGTATGTTCCTACTAATGAAAGAAACCCCAGACGTACCTATTTAACCCTCTACAGAAATAACAAATACTTCCCAGTGCTGTATATAGAAGCGTGGGAGAAAAACACATGCTGTGATCAGTATATGACTATTTTCCTCACAGATAAACTGCCTGTAAGGAAGCTTGATTCAAAAGCACCTGACCACTGTGAAAACCTGAAAATGTCCTTTACCAATAGCACTTTGACATAAAAATATTTCTTTGTTCCAGATCTCTGTGTATTTCAAAACAAACCCAAGCGGTACACAAATACCTTCACTATTTCTTTACCTATTGCGGAAATGAAATAAATTATTTTAAGAAGTCATATTATTAAAAGTTTAAAATGTACAGCACATTTGCTTTGCCCTTTCATGTCACAGTCCTATTTTTCTATTCAAATCTTGTACACTGCAAGTTAATTGCTTTTGGAAACTACTTATTATTCATGTAAAAATTAATGTGCCAATGTGTTTAAATCCTTTTAAATGACCATTCATGCATCTTTCTTCTTTAAGTACCAAAGAAATCCGTCAAAGATATCAATGCAAGATGGTCTTAGAGAAAATTCCAATAAAGATTTTTTTCTGCTAACATAAGATTTTCATTTTTGTCAACTTTACTTAAATTCCATTAATTTTTTAAGCTGCTTTTAATAAATTCACAAGTAAAAATTTTTAGGCTCCATTGCCTGTCATTTGTGTTCCAGCTGACTTTATGAATATTAATAACAGTGTTATCCTGATTAAATAGGCTTCATATAAAATCCCTGTGAATCCTATAGCTCAGACATCTCATTTTTCCAACTCTTTATGAATTTGGATTCAGACATTAAACTGGAAAAAAACTTAAAAAACAGATTCAATGGTACATTTGTGTACCCTTAAGCAAAAATTTAGATGTTCTAATGATTCAAATAAATAAAATAGATAGGACCACATATGGAGATTTCAGGCTGTCTGTAAACATGCAACATATTTTAACTCTAATGAAAATGTCAACACTTCACAGAACAAAGGATTAAGAATCTATTATGAAATAATAATAATGTCTGTCCTTATCCCTACCTTAAATAACAGATGATACAATCTTAACTCTTCATATATGGAGTGCTGATTTGCAGAAGTATTTCCCAAAGAGAAAGAAATTAGTGGATGCTTAATTACATAAGCATACACACAAAACACATGAACATTCTAGTTTAGCATGGGTGCCCAGTGGAAAACAGCATTAACTTTTAATCGGTTTATACTTCAGCAAAACCAACCTTTTTCTACAGAATGTCAAATTGAAGTACACAAGAAATTTTAACATTATCCTATGAGATTCATCCAGTCACAGTTTGAAACTGCCAACTTCATTCCATGCTTGCACATTTGAATTATTTACATCTATGACAGATAAAAATGGAAAACTAAGCTCACTGCACTGCCTTCATTTTTTCATATAGTGCTAACTTCCTCACTCATTCAGGGATAGATACTACAAAGATGGACATCAAAGTATTTTGACTTCCAGTACCTTGAAATATGAATGGATTTTAGGAAAAAAAAAAAAAACTAAATGAAATAATGCCTTTTTGAAAAGAACTGCATTCCAGTGCCAGTTCTATTTACTCATCAACACAAACATCTAATAAAATTCAATAAAAAAAAAAGAGGTATACAAAAATAACATACATCTGCAAGGTAGGAAGTATACAGTGCTTTACGTGTGCAGTTCTGAACTGCTTTTATTACATCTGTCATGGTATTTCCACTTTCAGACAAAAAATCCCCCAGAGTGTCAGCAGAATATATATTATACAAGGAGCACCCCACCATAACACCAACTTTCAAACATCTGTTGATGTTCAGAATCAAAAAGGCTATTGAGACCCTTCAATATAGAGCCCAAATAACTGCAAATCTCTGTTCCTTTGTCTTGCCTTAACAGGTTTTGAAGACAACTGCTGAATCATGGCCTTAGCCACTACAAGAAGAAGCAAACACTTGCCAGCATCAACCAAATTCACCTCTTACTCACAAAAAGCCCTCAGGTCTTGGGAGACCTTTTCCACAAGGACGGCTACCCCAACTTCCCTGCTTCTGTTGGAACAAGAAACCAGCTCCCACTACCAAGCCAGTCTTTGTCCCTTTTAATGGTGCAGTTGACAGTCACCACTGACAGCCCAGGGATGAAGCTAGGTAAGGGAGGGCACGCCATATACTTTACAGATGGGGAAATAACAAATTTTAGTATTATTTTCCTAAGATTAATTAGGTTACCAGGATCTCCTAAAATATCCTGAAACGTTTTTCCTCAGGGCAAGCTAAACTAAAAAACTTAATTTAGGAGGGTACACTACATAGAAACCAGTTATCTTCTAGAGGTGTTTCCCTAGGGAACAAACAGACAATTGTCTTACTCCACGTGGATGCCAAGTTTTGATGCAATGATACACTCCACAAAAGAGTCAAATTTCTTCTTTAACTTAAGAAACTTCATGATAAATCAGAAATCTAAGACAACCTAAGTTAAAATTAGCTTTGGGCAGTTATAAAAATACCAGCCAAAGAATAACTGAAATAACCACTTCACAATTTGTCAAATGTAGAATAACACCCATCTGTTAGATACTAGAAAGTTGTGAAATGAAACACACTTTGATATTTGATTACAGAGGTACTTATTTTATTTTATTCTACTACTTTTTTATGATTTTAAATACAAATAGCTCATGCAAAATACTCTGTTTCTTAAAAAAAAATAAGACAATGGTAAGTGGATTAAGCCCATAAGTGGATGAATGCAGCATGAGTAGTACTTCAAATTTTAAACTCCAGCACCGCTGCTACAAAGACTTCAAGATTTTGGTTTATGGAAGTAACTGCATTATCTGAAAGCCTGATAAAAACATATTCCCAAAGGGCAGAGACATCTAATAATCCCTGAGTTCCCTCCCCTACTGATTCTTGGCCCAAAAGGAGATGAGACATTTGCAGTTGGTTTCAACTAATCAACATAAATCAGAAAAGACACAGAGAACCAGGGCTCAGGTATTTTTACTCTGCTATTACAGCAGCTTCTTCACATTCTCATTATAGAATTTGCATCTGATGCTTTTGACAACGGCATTCACTAAGTGAAAGAATGATCGTTCTATATGTCATGCTTTTGACAAAGGCAAGAGAGAAGGCATAAAAGTGCAGTTTCAACTGGTTTACAATAGGCTTTACCTATTCCTGAATTAAATTTAATTGGATAAAGGACATGCACTTTTCTCTATTTTTTTCTCCCTTACTTCTGCTACCAGTTCAGTGTCTTCAGTTTTTTCTTTACACGTACCAGGACATTTTTTATGTGCGTATTAGATTACTAACAACCCTGTATCATTTCTCCCCTCCATTATATTCTCTTCCTCCCATTAATCACTGTATTAAACAATCTTCAGCCTGCGCTGTTCACTTCTTTCTCAGTTTTTAGCTGTCCTTTGTTCTCCATTTCTTTCCTTTCTCCTTAGCTTTGCCTTTGTCTATTTTGACAATACATACCTTTTCCTTATCTGCTTGCCCACCTCTGTGAAAGGTAAAGAAAACTGCAAAGGATCTTGTCAAAGATTATGTTCTCTTTTTTTTTCCCCAGCTTTTCTCGCCTTGGTGTGCATTTTGTGAAGTAGTTTTTTTCTGCAACACCTCCATTAACATCATTTTCACTCTAATAATAAAACTATGATATGCTCTGTTCAAGTGTCGAACAGCCAATTCATTTAGCCATCCTTCAGGTTTCTTGTAAACACTTCACTAGTCTTGTAACTCAGTTACCATATCATTATGAGGAATGGCTGAGGGAACTGGGGTTGTTTAGTCTGGAGAACACAAGCTCAGGGGGGGACCATATTGTCCTCTACAACTAACTGAAAGGAGGATGGAGAAAAGAAATGGCTGGTCTCTTCTCTCAGGTAACAAGTGACAGGACAAGAGGAAATAGCCTCAGACTGTGCCAAGGGAGGTTTAGACCGGATATTATAAAGAATTCAGCGAAAGGGTGATCCGGTATTGGAACATGCTGGCAGTAGTGGAATCACTGTGCCTGGAATTTTTCATGTGACTAGGTCCTTACTGACATGGTTTAGTGGTGGACTTGGCAGTCTTGGGGTAATAGTTGGACTTGATGATCTTAAAGGTCTTTTCCAACCTAGTTGATTCTATGTTATATATCATTATAGGCAGCCAGACGTCCATTTCTAACCACATCTGAAGTGTTGTATCCAGTCTGACCTTCTCATGGATATCCTGAAGCATGTCCAGCAGAAAGTCATGAAGAAGACTGGAGATCTGCAGCACATGACTTAAGAAGAATTTAAAAGATCTAGTTGGTTTTTATGAGAGAAGACTAAAAGGGGGTTTTACTGGGTTTTAGCTGTCTTGTAGGCAAATACAGAGAAGACAAAGACAGATTCTTCTCTTGGAGACAAGTTGTAACACAGAAAACTCTAAGAATTATAGATAAGAGATTTTTCACAGTGAAGAAGGAAGGAGTTGTTCAGAGAGGTTAGAGAATCTCCATTTCTGAAGATGCGTAAAACTCATATAAATACAGCAACCTACCTGATCTAACTTTGGAGATGGCCCCATTCTGAGCAGAGGTGTGAACTAGCTGATATTCAGATGTCTGCCTATTTTAGTATACTAAAGTTTGAAATAAAACAAAAAAACTAGAACTAGCATTTCTACAATGAACTAAATTCTGGGTTGCTTTCTGCTTTAGAGGGTAGGAAAGCAGGGGAAAAAAAAAAAAAAAGAACAAAAAATCAAGAACTCAACCAAGGATGCCCAATGTGGCAGACAGGCAGAATGCCAGGAGGGAAAAAATTGCAACAGCAGCATCTGTGCAGCATTTTAAGCACTACTTGTCCTGAACACCCCATTTGTTCCAGTTTACTACATGACTGGATGATGTGGCATTAGGCCAAATGTCAAATGCTGGTTTGCACATCATCCTTCAGGAAACCAAAACTGGACCAGTGATACAGATATTTCACCTGACTTACTGAAAGCATTTGTCGCAAGCCCCACAAAACCCATGACCCTCCCAAACTTAAGAAAAAGTCACTGCGACTAAAGAAGAAAAAAGCTAACTATGAAAATTATCCAAGGAACATTTGAGTCTACAGTGTTTATGTTTGCAAAATTCATTGTATACTATATTCAACATCCTGAAATTCCCAAATCCCCAAATAATAATTTATCACAGAGATAAGTTACGAGCCTAGATTTTAGCATAAAAGCAAAAATAAAGTCACAGAACATTAAAGGCCCATAAAAATGAGAAGTGATAACTTAGTGCCAGATTCATAAACCACTAGCACAAGCAATAGCATTAAGCAGAAATTATATTTCTCTTGCCAAAAGCATTACAATTTAATTGTTCAGCTGCCTTCAGAGAAAGAAAGAAGATCGAACAGGGACTTAGTGAAGAAAAGGAGGCAACAAACCACCCTAAAGCAGAGAAGTCCATTTATCCAGCCAACTCGCATTCCTTAAAGAACATTCAAATAGCACAATTTTTCCTGACAGCAAATGTACCAAAAATAAAAAGCATAAAGGCTACATTGTGGATATTGGAGCCCAACCAAGAACTACCATGAGCACTGAACGTGCAGAGGCCTGTCAGAAACGTGCCAACCTTTCAAGACCTAGTCCTTTGCGTGGGGACTGAGAGGGGCCCATCAGTCTCTCAAGGGAAATACAGCTGCACCAGCTATGCATCTGTCAGACTGCTTCAAATGGTAGGAAAACACAAATGCACCTCTGCTGCTGTCATAAACCAACATATTCAGTGCACTGGTTCTAGCCCGGACTATTTATTCATTCAAATTCAACAGTGTACACTTCAGCTGCTGAAGAGAATTACATCACCTGAAATTTTACAAGCTAAGAAGCGCAGAGAAATAAAACACTGACTCCAGATCAGCCACATTTGTTCCTTATAAGCGAATTAACTAAGCTGTAATTTTCTTAGATGTCTATCTGAAGAGAAAGCTATCCTTTAACTAAAAGCTTAATTGCTGCCTAAACTACACTTGCACAGCAGTGAGAGTACTGGAACATAGTGCTGCTCAGTTGTGAACACAGACATACATTGTGACTCAATAAACATATAGTTTCTTCACAACTTCTGATTTTTATTTTTATTTTTTTTAATCTAGCAACTAGATCCAGTATGTAGGGCCTTCACTACGAGTAGTAACTTTATCCTTTCAAGCAAGAAGTAACAGGAGTTTCAGAGAACAGCACACTTCAGGACATGTGTCCAAACAAGAGCAAAGCTGGTGAAGGGTCTAGAGTACAAGTCCTGTGAGGAATGGCTTAGAGAACTGGGATTGTTTAGTCTGGAGAACACAAGGCTCAAGGGAAACCTTACTGCTTTCTACAACTACCTGAAAAGAGGTTGCAGGGAGGTGACTGTCAGTCTCTTCTCCCAAGTAACAAGCAATAGGATGGGAGGAAATGGCTTCAGCTTGCTCCAGGGGAGGTTTAGACTGGCTATTAGGAAAAAATTCTTCACCAAAAGGGTTATCAAGCATTGGAACAGACTGCCCAGGGAAATAGTTGAGTCACCATCCCTGGAGGTACTTAAAAGATGTGCAGATGTGGCACACAGAGACATGGTTAAGCAGTGAACTTGGCAGCGTTAGGTTTACGGTTGGACTTCATGATCTTAAAGGTCTTTTCCAATCTAAAAAATTCTATGATTCTATGCATGTTACACTCTAACAACATTTTAGAGCATTTTCAGTACCTGTGTATTGGCTGTGCTTTGCAACATGCTTAACATGTATGATATATGACATGGCCTATCATGTGTTATTGCTTTTTTAGGTATGATTAGCAGGCTAGTGTTTTTAAAAACTTAATCCTTCCCTGAAATTTACTGCAACATCAAAGAAACCTGAAGGCCAGAACGATTTAAAATCGCAAGCTACACATCCAGAAATGGTCTTGGAACATCAGAGAAAAACCATACATTCTGAGGTGGGCTAGAACTTAATGAGAATCAGAGATGAGTCAGTAAAATTTAAGTCTGTTGACAGTGTCCAGAATTTAACTGGAAGCTAAAAATCATGGAGGCTAAACCTGCAACCATTTAGCACCATGAAGTTATTGCACTGTTACCTGCCCTTGCACCAACAAAGGAAAGTACAAAGTTAAAGGGGAGTTACCATTGACTCCAAACAAGTGTCAGGCAGATGGTTACAGAAACTACTACCAATCAACCAAAAAAAAAAACCACAAAAAACCCCAAAAAAACTTTAGCATTGAAATCATCTATCACATTATCATGGACATTTCTGACAGTGGATCATTCTCCCTGGCAAATTTATGAAAGCAGTGCAAAACATGACCATATACCAGCTTCCAAACCAAACTGCTGCAATATTTTTGTTTACATCAGGGGAAACAATACATGTCTCCTTTTAACTCTAGTTTGGAAAAGATCCAAAACCTTCTCTCAGCTGAAACTTACAAAAAAAAAAATGTTCACCTAGTAGGAAGGAAATGCTTACTGGGGGGTGAGGGGGAATCTCCATCTAAAATGTTGACATTACAAACAATGGAGAAGTCAAAGAAAAATGTCTTCTAAAGAGGTGTAGGACAAATATAAGCACAGGCAGAAGTGTCAGATCACCCACAACAAAAGCTGCCATTTCTGTTCTTGTTCGATCAATGAGAGTCCAGCTTGCTTTCTGAAATATGAATTTGAATACATAGATCATTCTTATGCCTCAATCTTGTCATAATTTATAATAATATACACATCATTATAGGGAATAAGATAAACATCACAGGGAATAAAGAAGACGGACAGACTTACAACAAACATTTCTTTACTGGGTTTTGAAAAAAGGTCGTTTTGAACCCTCAGTAAGCACATTATTCAGGCAAAACCATCAAAGTAATTTGCAGTGAAGAAGCCTTAAAGAATTCCACTGAGAACATAAGCTACAAAGAGGGTCACACAAGTTGAGGATTGCCCAACTGAGAGAAAAAGTTCTTCTTAGGGGTTCTGAGCCCTAAAGTAAGATTCTTGCCACACAAACAAATGAAAAAAAAAGTAAATAAAAATCCTGGAATAAATGAAGACCTAGGATTACCTAGCCAGTTTCAGCAAGATTATTCTCTTCATCTTTCTGTGAAAAGGAACAGATGGATATTCTCTTCTTTCTTACAACCTCATCATAAACTCAGGTATCTTGCATTCATTATCCCTTGATTCAACAAGCTATATTACTGTTTTCATTGCCAAAACATTTGACAGCAGAGGTGAAAAGAAGAAATTATGTAAGGCTGCAGAGAGCTGAGACAGCAACTGAATCTTGGCCCCACACCAGTTATGCCCGGGTGGAGCAAAGGAGCTCTAAATCCACTTGCTAGATGAAGGAAGAAAAATCCTGCCTTAGCACTTCTGTAAACCAGGCTTATTCTGATAACTGCTTTCTCTTGCACGTAATTGTGCTGAACAGTTTGAGGCTCGTTTGTCAGAGATTCCGGGCATTTCAAGTTGCTCTTCTTGGCATTCATAAAAAAAATATAAAAATCAAGACTTTATAGTTACAGAAGTACAGATAAAACACGAAATTAAAAAATGGGAAAACCTGACCAACAGTTCAAATAGTCAGAACTCTGAAGACATTCTCAGATATTGTGAGGCTGCAAGACTGTAGACTCCAGAGCTTCACATCCCATTTCGTGTTGAAGAAGCACCTGACAAAGTTAAGATACATGCACTACAATGGCTTCTGTGCCTTATCACAGTACTAGAAAAAGTCCTAAACAGCTTCCTATTTCACAGTCCTACTGCGAGGAAATGAGGAAGTCTTTTATAATATTACTTAAAACACATGAATAAAAGCAACTAAGTTTTAAATGTTGTGTGTTTATGGCTCCTTGATGTCAGAAGCAAATCTTATCTTCAACATAAAAAAAAATCTTCAATGTAACAAAAGGAATCATTTTCCTGACAAAGTTATGCCATTTTGACTCTGCTTTTGAAGTACTCTTCAATATTCTTTTAATTTCAAGACCTTGAAGCCACAACATCTAATCAATTATTTCCTTTTGTAAAAGTCTTATGCCGGTAAGTCACAGTACTCTTTTGTTTACTTCTTATCAAAAGGAAGTATTTCACTGTACTCAGCTCTTCAGCTGGACTGTGCATCTGGTTTGGGAAAAAGTTGCGGTTTTTGCCATAACTTCATTTATTATAATATATTGTTGCTGCCTGAAAAGGGTTAAGTGAGTTTATTTTACTCATCACACTGAACTTCACTGAGGTGTAAGGTCATCTGTGTTTTCATCAAAAATACAAAAAAAACCCAAAATCCAAAAACCCAACACCACCACCAAAACAAAAAAAAAAAACAACCAAACAAAAAACACCCAACCAAACAAACAAAAAAATAAACAAAACCCAACCAAAACTTACATAAGTTTTTTCTCCAGTGCTTTCAGGACAGGCTGAAAAACACACCTACTCTCAGACATCCATTAATAGACACGTCCCTAAAAACCTGTTTCTCAAGACATTTGAGAAGACCAGAGATCCTACAAGTAGCAAGCTCATGCTCCAATCACAATTTTTTTTTTGTCAGATGAGATATGGCTTTGTTTCAAACATTTTGGATAACATTAGTTAATTTTTATGAACTTCTTTGTAGCTGGAGTTTAACACTAGTCTGAATTAATTTATATTGCAATTGGAACAAAATTTTTCTTTCATTTACAGTATCACATTCTTGTGTTAATAAACAGTGGCAATTTTACATAGAATTGTATTACACAGGGTTACCTGTAATACCTGTTTGTGTTACACATGGGACTCCGAAGAGCTGATCTTTCTAACGGACCGAGTGACTGTGTTATTGGAAAGAAATTGCAATATTTAATAATAAATGGGTTCTCAATAAAGTATCTGATTTGACTGAGTGCTCTGTAAGAGGCCTAACTCTAAAGATAAATTAGGAAGTATATTACACCAAGTAGAAAACAAGCTACTGGGCAGATACAACTGGAGGGGAACCTCAGTATGATAGCAGCATACACTATTATTAGTAAGTTTTCTCTCATAAGTGCAAGACAGCGAATGTTTGCCAAAAGAATTTTACATCCAGGAGGGTTTTTGAAATATGAAAGATACTTTTAAACTATGAAGAGAATTATAATTTTTGTCTAATATTTAGTAACCTTCAGACACTGTAATTCCACTTCAGATCCTAAAAAAACATTCTGGAGACAAATATTAGTCTACCACTGGATAGTGAAGAGGAGGAACAAAATTACATTTCAAGGGGAAACTGTTAATTAGAGTTACCTTGTACACCTGCACAGCAGTCACCTTCAGTACAGTGTGAAAAAGTGTTACACCCCACAACTGTGTTTATTCTTGCTATGATCGAATTCTGAGTCCATAAAGCAAGAAGCTGAAGTTTGCTCCCAGGCATATTTATATCATGCTACTGCAGTGCAAAAAACCTAACTTAAACATCCTTAACTGGTTGACCACACATCCTGGTATAAAAGAGTCTCTTGATGCATCCACTGAACCCTAGTCCCTAAAAATTACAACAAAGCAATCCTTAGTGGGTGCTCCATTCTTTTACATTGCTGGGGTGCCATGAACAAATTAGTGGACTGGGTGCACTAGTAGTGCCCTTTCACAGTTGTATTGCCTCAGAAATGCTCTCATTATGAACCTGTAAGAAATCCCATTTTACCAAAAAATGAAAGGTGAATGTATTTTCACAGGGAGCTGCATTTCCATACTGGTCCTTCTGCTGTCTAATCAATACCTGCCATTTGGAAAGAAAGCCTGATGACATGAGAGGCAGACCTCAGCAATCCAATCACCAGCCTAGCAAATGAAAGCTGCTGAGCTACTGCCTATGGAGAAGCTTACCAAATGCTTGTACTTTGTACTTGTTAACCCATTTGTTATGCAAACCCCTTTACCTTGAAGCCTACCTGACAAACCAGAGCAGATCCTGACCCTGTCACAGTGTTCCTTCCTTTTGCTGAAGTGGAACAAGTCACAAGCTTAGAAATGACAACTTCTGAAGACAGCAAAAGGCCATTTGTAATCCCAGCACTTATCTAGAACAGCTGTTCAGTGACACCTGATCAGCACCCTAGGGCCGTTCATTGCCACTACTCTGATCTAACTCAGGTAACTGTGGCAAATTACTGACCTCAGTGACACTGGTACTTTGACAGAACCCCAGAAAATCTGGAGTCTGTAAGAAGCGAAGATGTAAAACTGTTTCTGAATAATAAAGGCAACTGATTAAGACATGCTTGGAACACAAAACTGAAAACTGCCCAGCTTGACAAAATACCTGTCAGGTCTAGCAGCACTTTTTGTGAAGTGGGTCCCCCCTAGAACTCAGAAGCTCCAACACACTACACATGAAATAACCTGTCACTGAATGCTAAACCTTATTTGTTAAATATTTGAGGCAAAATGAGCAGCAGTCATTTCAGTTGATACCTACATGTATCAAATTTCACCTTGCAATTTGTTTACTTAGATAATTTTCTTTAGTTCAGACTTACATAGACAGTCACCTGAGGTACGCGAGACTAATCCATCTCCTTACAGGGTAAAATCATCAACAGCATCAATTCTCTGGGAGGACTTAGAATCCATTTTATTGTCTTGCCAAATCTGAAAACCAGCTAAATTTCCTTCAAGACACACCAGAAATCAAATTCTGGATAAAATAAGCCTTCCTGATAGAAGATGCTCCTGATAGAAGCAATTTATTACAGAAATGTTTTCTCAAATCAAGGGATCAGTTGTCTACACAGCATTTGGATCCCATCAACTACATCTCCAGCACAAACAAGGCCATTTAAATGGGGACATTCTAATTTCTCAACGTTATTGCAGCAACAGTTCCAGGCATTAATCTCTTTTTAACAATGACATATTAATTTGGCTACAGATAATACATGGGAGGATGCTGAGAGTGTTAATACTTATTCACTCAACTGAAAATCAAAAATACTCAAATTTCTAATAATATAGTGCAAGTAAAGAAGGTGCTTATCAGTTTCATTTTATTCACTTGGTACTTCACACAGTAGCAATGTGTTTTGCAAGGGAAGGGGTTTCCATTTACTGACCTTGGCATTCATAAGGACCATACTGTGATTTACATTGAAAATTCCAAGCCTTTATCTGATCTTATAAATAAATGTAAAATACATAAAACAATTATCCTAGTGTAAAATTGAATTTTATCTCTCTGTAACCAGCTTTTGTCTATGCTACATATTTCTATGTTTGAATACAATTCAAAATTAATAATAGGTATAATTTATTTTTTGACTTTTCATTATCTTGACATTTAAAAAATCTTTCATTTTTATATACCTAGGCTTTAATTTTATCTAGGGCTTCAACCCCAAGTTCCTTTTTAGACATGTACAATGTGTCTTACAGAATATCTGTTCAAAGAATACGCCTGCTCAAAGAATAGATCGGCCACTTAGCAGACCAAAAGAAAACCAGTATAAAGAAATAAAAATATTTTGTAACAAAGAAAAATACCAGATTAGGAGAGAAAATGTAGTCCTGCATGTAAATGGCAGAAAAACATGTACTAGAAGAAACCACAAGTTACAGCGAAGAATTAGATGTAGAAAGTAGAGTTCAGAAGTTGGTGGTTCTGGGTAACACACAGCTTAATTCTTTTTATTTTTATTTTTTTTTTATAGCTGTAGAAGATAACCAAGAAAGCCTCTTTTCTATTAAAGGGCAGTCACAACTTTACATTGAATGCCATAGCTTTAGCAGTTTAATATAGAGATTAGTCTAACCTGGACATAAGCTTTTCAGTGGTTCATAAAAAAAGCCCTTTTACCAAGCAATTTTGGGGCTTAAATATAAATTATTCAAATGCACCAACCTAACAAAATACTTTATTTTCTTAGCACAATTAATTAACATCACTTTGACTAACCATCCCCAACATTCTACTACCTCAGACATATGTATGTTGACTTCAAAGAAAGTCAGCTGCGTCTCAAGTCCTCAGTACCACGCAGGCTCAAGTCTACTTCGTATGGAAGTGCTATGGTTTACACAGAAACTTTCTTTTGAGGAAAACAAAAGGCTCAGAATTAGAGAAGGTCAGGGAGAAAAAAGAAAAAAAATAAAAATACCTAGAAAATTTCTTTTTTCCAAGGTGTAGATATGCAACGAAAGCAAGGAGCCAAATACAGCCACACTACATGCACACAAATACACACAGTAATTCATGAAAAAATATCCCAAAGAGACTTTGATGAATAAATACAAAGAATGGCAAGCTATATAGGCTGATAGCAAAACTGCCACTTTTCATACAGGTCAAGCAGAATTCCACAAGCCCAGCTGCTCCACACAAAGCCAGACTGGCCACACCAGTGCCATATGCGCACTGGCAGCAGGATTCCTTCATGTCTGCAGCAAATGAAGCTACTCACTGGGCCTTTGTGATAAGAGGAGGAATCTCATAACCATGGTGGTCTATGCAGTAGTCTTGTACACTACTACAAGTAAAAACAACACATCCCAAAATGAGTAGCCCTTGGTCTGAAGTGGCTCTGGTCAGGATGAGGCATGTTTAGGAAGCAGTCCCTTGAATACCTTGTTATAAACACATGTGGAGAAAATAAGATGAAAGAACACTGTAGTTAACTGAATAAAGGTTAAGGAAAATAAACAATTTTTTTTCAGCTTAACATTTATTTGTGAACTGCTGGTGCAATGCTATGCTTGACAGAAAAGCTATGAGGTTCTTGGTCGCTTGACAACACAATCTACAAGCTTGAATGAAATGTTCAGCTTAAGGAATTAGAATAAATCTGATGACTGATGTGCTACTGAATGTGACAGACTGTCATCTGTTTTAAACAGGATCTCTGTAGGATGTACTGAAAGCATTTTTTTTCCATTACCTTAAACATACTAAGACTTTTTCCAATGAATTCTAGCTAATCTATTAAAACACAAGATCTTCTCAAACTCTTGCCATTTCAATAAAATAATGGAATAGCTAATTGGCTTACTTGCCTAATTAATTCATGCTGACACTGTACTTCTGATCAATTGACATCCAGTCCACAAAAGCCTACAACAAAAATTTCTTTTACTTCCCAA